TATTTATGAGAATGAGCGTTTCTCCACATTTCAGCCACCCTTGATATCATATTTCTTTATAATCTTCGCCTACTGTGAAGGCAAAGAAGTATTTAAACACGTGCGGTTTTAGCTGTAGTTTATGGCCAGCGTCCGCATATTTATTCCTCATTTGCATTTCCCTTTTATTACTAGTCTTTTGTAGCCATAGATCATTTCTATGGAACTGTGATCTTCTTACAAATGGGTAAGAGATAATTAAAAGGAGCCAGTAAACCATTTCTTTCATATACTTACAAAATGTATTTTCCAACCTTTTTTTTCGCGGTAAGGTTTGAGATTTTTTTCTAGAGCAAAAGCTTTGAGTCATGTCTTTGGTAGGTGCTGTTGTTGATCCCTGGCCGTGTATTAAAGGAGATAATCTTTTTATATTTCCTATATAGTGCCTGGTGACTTGAGGTCAGAAGGTCAGGTCCCGTCCACATGAGTTGCATGCGATAGTGCGGTTCCTCTCCCATCCTGGCTCCCCTAGGTCCCTGAGATGGTGCTTTAGGACCTCTTCTCTCTCACTCAGCCTCCTGCAAGGGCATCTCGCCTTTATCGTATCACTAGAAATTCTTATGAACTCTTGCATTTAAGCCTGTCCTGGCCGGAAGCAGGGGCGATTTTCATGTCTAATTGATAATACTCTAAATTATAACTCTTAATGTTGTTTAGGGACTTGGTTCTTCAGATGAAACTTAGATACGTTAAAAACAGCGCAACAGGGACAGGATCGCTCCACTCACTGAGCTGCCGTTGGAGGATATACTCTTCCTTTGGCAAGGCAGTCTTTAGGGGCCGTTGGAGCATATACTCTTCCTTTGGCAGGGCAGTCTCCAGGGTTTTTTGTTGTTTTGTTTGTTTCGTGGTGGTGTAGACAGAGTCACTCTTGGCTGTCCTGTAACGCTCTATGTAGACCAGGCTGGATTCAAACTCACAAAGATCCTCCTACCTCTGCCTCCCAAGCACAGGGATTAAAGGCATGTACCACTACATCCAGCCTCAGCCTCCAGTTTTAATGGCACCCAGGAGCAAGCAATGATTACTTTCCTGAGAGTTCTTCCCAGCACTTGTAAACCTATTTCTAGATGCTGAATGCCACAGTGAATAGAACCTATTTAGTCCATTGTCACTCGCAGAAGAGACAAAAGGTCATGGATTTGTGCATCATCTTAAAGCATACTGACCTGCAAGTCTTTGGTTATTTCCAGGGACTGGAGGGATGGCTCTAGGTTAAGACCAGGGACTGCTCTTTCAGGTCCCAGCACCCATGTCAGACAACCACAACCACCAGTACCTTCAGCGCCAGTGCGTCTGACGCCCTCTGCTGGACCCATAAGGTATCTGTACTCATACAAACCTGTACACAGAAAGTAATTAATATGCTTAATGAAAAATCCAAAATGAAAAAAAAATTAAAAAATCAAAAATTAAACTCCTAGGATTCTTTTTCAATAGCTGCATTGTCCAGGGACTTTAAAGATGGCTCAGTGATTAAAAGTATTTTTAATGATTGCAAAGGATCAGAGTTTTATTCCAGCACCCAGTTAGGGTGGCTCACAACTGCCTGTAACCCCAATTCCAGGGATCGATGCTTCTGGCCTCCACGGACACCCACACTCACCTGCACAAAACCACTCACACATGCACAAACTTTTTTTTTAATCTTTTTTTTTTCCTTGTTCGAGACAAGGTTTCTCTGTGTAGCCTTGACTGTCCATGAAATCAGAGGTCTGACTGCCTTTGCCTCCCAAGTGCTGACTGGGATTAAAGGTGTGTGCCACCACTATCCGTTTTTGTTTTTTTCTTAAATCATCACTTGGGAGGCAGGGGCAGGTGGATCTCTGTGAGTTCGAGGCCAGTCTGGTCTATAAGAGCTAGTTCCAGGGCAGTTTCCATAGCTACAAAGAAACCCTGTCTCAAAACAAACAAAACAAAAACCCTTAACATATCACCCAATATTAACCATGGTCGTCTCTGGGGAAGAAATTGATTTCCTGGCTCCTTTGCTCGTATACCCCCTTGACTTGAGTATTTGATTTTGTCTACGATTTTGGGGAATTGCTTTTGATAGCCAGTTTTTGTGTGCAGATGTCGTGTGCATGAGCAGAGAAAACTTGAGGGTCATGTTGATCTTTGATAAAAATGCGTGGTTTTACTTCCTATTAACACTTCACCTGCTTGCTTTTTTCTCGCTTGGTGTGGACAGGACTGTTTTCCCAGTGGCTTTGCCGCTAAGGCCACGGTGCTGCAGGTGGCTAGGCACAGCTCTCCAGCTAGACAGGAGCTCTGCGGCTCTGGGAGGGGCGCGGGCGCCGTGGGAACGGAGTCTGGAATGTGATGGAGGCTAAGAGGGTCGCGGGAACCGGTCCCTAGCTGCTGTGCTGCGCATGTGCAGTTCATCTTCATTGTTCGCTCCCGCGTCCCGCTGCGCTTGGAGGAAACCCTCAGATCCTCAGGGTTCACGCGTCGCTCAGAGACCCGGTCCCCAGGTCAGACGCGCCCACGGGTGAGAGCCAATTTGGAGGGTTGCAGTGCCAGACTCGGGGGGCGGCTTGCGTGCTAACTAACACCTGCGCGGGTCCTGGGAGGACTCTGACACTGACCCTGAATGTGCTCCGGGCTGGTGGAGGTGGGCTTCTTCAAGGGGAAGAAACTGGGCTCGGACTTGGTGGTCCGGATAAAGTGAGCTGGGGACTCTAAGCTCCATAGCAACCGGCGGATATCAGAGCCACCTGCTGGTGCTCTAAGCCCCATAGCAACTGGCAAGTGACTTCCACGGCTTCATGGGATGAGCACCAAGTCCGATGACACCTGTCCGAGGCTGGCAGGACAAGGGCAGTGAGGGTTCTGTAGCTGAAAAGGCTGCCCTCAGATTCTTAGCTCAAGTTCCAGCACCACTGCTGAGTCCCTATGGGCAAGAAGAGGAATACAAGACTCAGTTTTCCCATCCGTACATGGGAGTTCTTCCCTGAACCTGCCTCTTAGGTGTTCTGGGCAGTGCCTGACATAGGTTTTAGCGGGGATGGTGGCATTTGCTCAGGATCTGAAAGGGTTCATTAAGCCCTAAGCACCGTTTGGCTCTGAGATCACTGTTACAACCCTGTTCTAACAGAAGAAAGACTGGGGGCTGGGTGAGGGGCGGAGTCTGCTGAAGAGTGAGGATGCAAACCTCAAATCGTTTATTTCCACATCACAAGCTCTGTTCAATCTAGTCTCTCTCTCTCTCTCTCTCTCTCTCTCTCTCTCTCTCTCTCTCTCTCTCTC